GCGTGCGTGCCCAAGATCCCGAGAGGAGAATGGAGGAGAAGGGATTGCGGCGTGGCCATCCCCTCTGGGGGGTGATTTTTCGCTTTCTGTCTCTATGTCTCTGTCTGTCTATCTGGCGAGCGCACGCACCCTATAGCAAAAACCTCTCAAAAAAAAATCTTTATTTTCAATTGTGGTAAAAAGCATAACAAAAAATATACCTATATCATGTGTAAGTGGATAGTTCAGTCGTGTGAGGTATTTTCACAATATTGTGCAACTGAGTTCCAGAACTTTTTTTTTCTTTTTTTCTTTTTGAGAGGTTTTTGTTATAGGGCGCGTGCGCTCGCTGGAAAGACAGAGACAGAGAGACAGAAAGCAAGAAATCACCCCCAGGGGGATGGCCACACTGCAGTCGCGCCCGGCATGAGTTTAAGCCACCGGGTCCAAGACATGGGAGTCCAGCAACATAGCCATTACACCAGCTGCTGGTCAAAGTTCCAGAACTTTTTAACTTGTAGTTCTGAAACTTGAAACCCGTTAAATAGCAACTCCCCATTTCCCCCTAATTCCCACCTGTGGAAACCACCGTTCTACTTTCTGTTCCTGTGAATTAGACCACTCTAGATGCCAGGTAAGTGGGATCATACAAGATTTGCCTTTTCGTGACTGACATTTTATTTAGCTTAATGTCCTCAAGGTCCGTATCTCTGTATTATGTGTGGGAATTTCCTTCCTCTCTAAGTCTGAATGATACCTCTGGAATACACATACTCTATTTTGTTCATCCATTTACCCACCAGTGGACGCTTCAGCTCTCCTACCCCCTGGCTGTTGTAAACAGTGCTGCTAGCAACATGGGTGTGCAAATATCTGAGACTCTGCTTTCAGTTCTTTAGGACACATGCCCAGAAGGGGGATTGCTGGATCATATGGCTGCTGCGTTCTTTCTTTCGAGGAACCCCCATACTGTTTTCCACAGTGCCTATCCCATTTTGCATTCCCACCAATGAGGCACCGGGGTTCTAATCTCTCACTTCTTGATTTTATGACTTTTTATTGGAGCAACTCTGCGTAGCCCCTCGCTCATTGGTTCCCGCATCCTTTGGTTATATAAATCAGGCAGTGCCCTTGTTGGCAGCCCATCTGATTTGTCCCTAGGGACATCATGTTTTGTTAAACAGCTTACTTCCCTGTGGGTCAAGCCCGCCTGACTGGCCCTTTGACTTTTTTGGTCATTATGATAATTATATGTGCCCCTGGCTTCTATTGCTGGGGATGGGGGTCAGTCCTCCCCACTGTTGTAACCACTTCCGCCGCCTCTCTTCAGCTCTGGCCCGCAGGAGAGCGCCGCTACTGAGCTCAGCCGGCTGGTGGCGCTCTCACCGCGCGCTCCGGATGGCCGCGGCGTGGTGTCTTTTGGGTC